CGGATCTACTCGCGAAGCCCCGCCCCACGCACCAGCCAATGACATCACAGCCGAAAGAGTACATCGGCAGAAGATCGAGCCGCCCGGGTCCAACAAGCAGAGTTCGACCGCCTAGCAGCAAGTCTGATCGCTTCAGTGAGCAACCACATCAGCGACGAGGATTTACTCAAGGCCGATGGCTCAAACTTCGCGGCGTGGGAGGACTTCGTGGAGGAACGCATGCGAGGTGCAACCGGCGCAGTGGCGTATTTCAATCGGCCGGCACGCAACATACTTCACGAACGAGTCGGGAGGGCCCTCCTCATCAGTGCGGTTGACAGATCCCTCCGCAGAGGAATATCTCGACTGACCAGCGCTCACGAGATGTTCACGGATCTTAACCTCCGTTTCCGGTCGGTTAGTCGCGCGGCGCAAGTCAGTCTGTATCGACAGCTGATTTCCTTCAACGTTGCGGACCACTCATCGACAGCGCAAATGGCCTCACACATTGGGGATTTGCTCGATGAGATGACGTCGGCCGGAATTCCGTTCACCCGCGACCACTGGGCCGGACTTGTCCTTCAAAACGGCCTCCAAGCCGAGCCGGCTCTACAAGATGAATTCAATCGCAGAGTCGAACTCGACTTCCAGACGTCAACTCCAGAGCGACCGGCCATGAATTTTGAGGAGATGATCAGGCTCATCGACATCATTCGACGCCAACAAAGTTTCCAGTCGGCGACGAATGAGACTGCCCGACCTAGCCCTCTAGTAATGCAGGCTGAACCGCAACTACCTCCTCCTCAAGATCAAAACAGGCCAACCGGACTGCCCCTTTACCCGGATCACCCAGACAACATTCCCGACGCACACGACTTCATGGCAGCGCAGGCGGGGTTGTGCTGGCAGTGCAGATCGCCAGATCACTTCCTGCGCAACTGTCCTTTCCGATCGCGCCCCCAAGCCAACCGTGGCAGGTTCCGAGGTCAACCACAACAACCAGGACCTATGCCCGTGGGCTCTGATGCGGCGTTCCAGTCGTTCTACCCTATCGTCACGCCGCCTGGATTCTCGGCTGTCTATCCGCAGACCCACTCCCATCAACGCCCGGCACATGGCCCACTCAACAGTCAACAAGCTCCGCCACCGACCACCCAACCCAGGCCAGCAGACTACTACCGCCCCCCGCAATACCGTCTTCAACGAGTCAACCAAAAATCGGAATCCATTGGTTCACAACGCCAGAAGCCTTCTGCAAATGAGACCACGCTGGGGACTGACTCAACCAATGAGTCCTATGCGAGGATGGTCGAGATTGGGGATGTGGCCGAGGACCTTGCCAACGTCCATTTCGATCACGTGCAGGTTGAAGCGCCGGACAACGCACCAATTGTTGACTCAGGTGCGTCCCACCATCTCTGTG